ACACACACACACACACACACACACACACACACACACACACACACACACACACACACACACACTCAAAGCACATAGCATCTCCTATCTGTATATTTTTAATTCCATCCTCCCTCCTCAGGCTCCTCCTTCTCTCTTCCCTGTGTTTGTCTGGAGTTATTGTTTCAATCTTGCTGCATCAGGGGGCCCCTGAAGGTTATAAATTAAACATAAATGCAAATGCGCTGAGCCATTGCCCTCCTCCACCTCCCTTTCTGAACACACACACACATACACACATCCTCTGCTTTCAAACAGATCAGTGTGTCTGCGAATTAATAGGAGAACAGTGGGATTATTTTAATGAGCGAGAAAGGGAAATTAGAGTTGCAAAGCCACAGCGTGGCACACCCAGAGCTGCAGCCGAGGCAGCGGCTTGAAAAGCTGGGCGCCATCATAGAATATGCTAATGCCCCAGGTCCCCTCACTGTCAGTCTCGGCGTTGCTTTAGTAGATCAGCGCACAGGCTTTGATCTGGCATGCTGATGAGAGACGGACTCATCATGTGTACAATGTTCAAAAAGAAGGAAAGGTGTGGATGAGACGACTCTGAGAGAGTGTAATCTGTAGTCTGGAGCTTAACCAACAATATTATGTATTCAATGATAAGTAATGTTGTCTGTTTACGTTCAAAGTCTTGATTGTCATTTTCTGGCACTGTGTGTTTTTCCTTTGTTGTTGCATAAAGATARAATGCTAATATGATGCCTTTATGTTGTGCCCTATAGATAAATGGCCATCTGTTGTTCTGATGCTATAGGCTGGGCCTGAGCATATTAAATGTAAACTCCATTGAATCTTTGTAGTTGGACCATAATGGTGTCGTTGCTTTTATTCTCTGCCATATGGGCTCTTAAGGATGGGTTTGTGAAACATTTAGGATGTCACACTCTTAATTTCCTTTTGTTGAGCTACCTTGGAGTGGGGGGGGCGGGGGTACATGGGTTGAACATATACTGCCATTTTGTAAAAAAAAAAAAAACTGATGCACTGTCCTGTTGATATTAGAGTGTTTTTTGATGTTCTCTTACACTTTAACCATCAGCTTGTACTGACACTGTATCTCCAGCAGGGGTCTTCCCATTGTCATGGACTTGATGTGAATCATCCCAYCACTGTGAAGCCCAGAGAACTGTGCCACCCTGTTTTTAACATGGGTGACATGAAGCAAGAAAGTAAGATTGACAACACTTCTACCTTTTTAATTATCATGTCAATAATCTTTACCTCCATCACTGGCAATAACMATCTTGCTCACGTTTGTTCCCATCATCATAATCATGGCCATACCCCCCCCCCAAAAAAAGCCCTCTCTTTCCCACCGCCTTCATCCTCCCCTCCATCCCTCTTTCATCTGCAGCTCCCTCTGTTGATCAAATGCATCTGATCTCATCAAAGCAGACCCTCTGCTCATTCAAGTCTCAGCAGACACCCAGCCTTCTTTACTAAGCACTATTTTACATTCATGTTTGAATACCATCGATGGGATGGAGTATCTTGTAGACTTTGGTTTTGTGTGGTCCTACACTGCAGCCTGGGGTTGTTTTTATTCTTTTTTTATGATCCTTTCAGACCAGATCATGTTTGAAAAGGTAAAAATTTCAAGACGTAGGAAGGAAATAAAAAAAGCTAAGACAAGAATGTGGAATATTTTGAATATTTTGTATTATTTCTATTAATTCTGGCATATAGTGATGTTTGTAGCTACATTTCCCCCCCCCACCTGCAGTCTCAGTAAATAGCCCTCTGAAGTTTATATTTAGCTCTCATTGCAACATACCTTCACTTTATTATTACATGGGAGCGTTTTTATGGCAGAACAGAAGTGACTGGATGAAAGCTGTGATATTCTACCTCCTATAAAGTGTGATTACATTCTCTTTCTGTTGGCAACGTGATTGCACACCGTTTGAGGCTGCTTGTCCGACTGCTGTCAGAGCTGCAGAGAAGCTGGCTCGAGTCGAGGGACCGAGGAGCTGGGAGAAAGAAAAGCAGATCTGGATACTGGAGGAGTAACTCTCTAAAACTCACCGTCTGTCTGTATTTGGCTTGAAAAACGTGGAGCGACGAAGCAAATTTGGTGCGTAATTTGGCGAAGTTCGATTTTTGGGGATTCGTTTTTTTAAAACGCGTCTATAATAGGAGGAGTAAATCCTGAACTACGTAAAGCAACATTAAGAAGATTTTAAACTTTAAAATGATAGAAGTCAATATGATTACTGCGTCACTATCGTTATATCATCTGCATTCACTATTTTTTGTTGTAAATGTAACCTGCAAAGCGGTATAAACTGTGATTTCACCGCGCGTCGGTGCGTAAAAGCTCACTACTCCAGTCCGGATTTTCCATGTGAGGGACGCCGGAGCCCTGGAGGTGGATAAGCTGGTAGAGCCCGCTCTCTCTCATGCCATGCTGGGCCACAAGGCTCCGGGAGACGCTGCTACATATCACTGAGAACCGGGATGGAGAAGAGGCGGAGGGGGGAAGGGGGAAAAAAAAGTTTCGTTTAAAACCTGGCAGAGAAACTTTCAGCATGAAGCCTCACTGACGCACCGTTTCACCACCACAGCAACACCAGCGCTCAGGAAAACATTGGTTTCCCGTTGAATATATTTCTCACCTCCCAGCTTGTGTTTTTTTTTRTRRTRRTRRRCRRCTRMTSMRGTMTTTTTTCTGCGCGCACGGCTGGTCGGGGCTTGCTGTCACTGCGCGCTAAGATGCTGGAGTGACTATGGCTGCGCAAGTGGCATCGGTTCCGACCAGAACTAATAACAAAAACAAGAAATTATCCGGCGGTCTGGGTCCGGAGCTCAATTCGGGGAAATCCGAAAGAGGAGGGACCGCGCAGCGGAGTGGACCGATGCTGGGCGCCGGCGARGGAACTCTGAATAATGTAGACCACCTCCGCCGAACCGAGCTCAGCATGGTCCATTCAACTTCCACGACTCACATGGGCTCGGACGGCCACGACAAGGTCGGGAATAACCTCGCGTCCAATTCGAACGCCTCGCCGATGGAGACGGGTCTGCTCGCGAACCACAAGCTGAAGTGCGCGGGCAGCGGAGAGCCCCCCCAGCCTCAGCCGGCGCAGCAGCCTCCGCAGTTCGGCCAGTTTGCGCCACATCCGCATCGACAGATTCAAAGTAACAACAACAGCAACAACGGCCAGCCCCCCCGCGGGGACAGGAGCACGGACCACCAACACCACGGCGGGAAGGAGAACCTGTTGGGGGGGCAGGAGGACGCGCCGGGGAAAGGTGAAGGAGAGCTCACCTGTAAACCCGCGGAGAGGATGATGAGCTCCAGGTTTGAGCACTCGAACCTGGRCCCCCCGAACAACTCTGAGTTTAATAACAACTATTACCCTCCGAGGCCGTGCTATGACCAACATGGCGGGCAGCAGCAGCAAAGCAGTGGGATGGGGGTYCACAACAACATGGAGAACTCTCATGAAGCCGGGTACCACAACAGCCAGTATGGTCAGTACCCAGCATACCGTGCGGGCTACAGCAGCGGGACCTACGGGATGATGGACCCSTCTGGGTGCAGACAGCCAGGTAACATGATGATGGGCAGCAACTCCTCAGCAGCCCACGGCAAGGCCCCCCTGGGAGCTGCCTCGGGTGGATTTCAGAGGTACCCGGGTCAAACCCAGCAGCAGCAGCAGCATCCCTCAGGGGCCACGCCGACCCTCAACCAGCTGCTGACATCCCCCAGCCCCATGATGCGGGGTTACGGAGGGGCCTATCAAGACTACAGTGGCCCCACGCCTCAACAGCAAGCCGGCATGGGCCTGGGGAAGGACGTGGGACCCCAATACGGAGCCACCTCGGCCCACTGGGGAGGGCAGCAGAGGAGCCACCCTCTTTCACTGAACCCGGGGAACGGAGGGCAAGGCCTCAGCAGGGCGCAGGTGAGTTCTGCAAACTTCAGGTGCGCCTCAGTGAACTTCAGCCTTGCAGAACAAAACGCAGCAGATGTTGCACGTGCGTAACAGAGCGCCGTGGGTCYTGTTGTGAAATATAAATTTAGATTACAGGTGCAGAACTCAGTTTTTTTTATCATCAGAAATTCATTGTGGAAAAGGGAAGCCGTTTATTTATTCATAGGAGACATAAATAATCAGGATGCGTATTTTTTGTCACTATAAAATACCTGTTTACCTTGGAGTTGTGCACGTGTTCTGTTATTTTTATCCCATAATYAGAAAAACTGCAGGAAAATTTCTGTCTGCGGACGTGGTGGCAGACACGCTGCAGAACGCCCTGTTTTTGAGGACGTGCTTTTTCCAGGCGTCCGTGTGTTTAAGTCAGATATTCACATCCAAAATATATAAAAGCATAGAACAAACACTGACGAATGTATTTAAATAAACAGCTTTGATCGGATTTGTAATGTAAGGGTGTTTTTTTGCTTCGGGTGGACAAACATCCCGGCTGTTCTCCGCGCGCTCTGAGCCGGAGCGCCTCGGTCCTCTTCTCCCTGCAGCTCCGCTCAGGATTTGAATAGTGGAGGTAAACTGGTTTAAAAACTCTGCGCACTCCTGGCTCACAGTTGACACCCAGTCTGCCATCTGATTGGCTCCTTTTGGCCCTGCTGGGCAGACTGCGTTCAGGAGAYAAAAAAAGGGATGCTTATGAAGCTGACGTGTGGGAATACTCAGACTTGGAGGCCATCCAAGTCAGTAATTGACGTTTTATGAAGGTTATAACGTTCTTGATAATTATTCTAATTTGTGCTTGCTCTACAACGCTGTTAGGGTCTCAAAAGAAATATGAAAAATCTGTGAAGTAAATGCAAACAAGAATTTGACGATGATCTTATTGTTTTAATGTCAATACAATATAATGAAGTCTTTCTAGGAATAAAAGCTAAAAGTCTGTTTTTTTCTTACACAATAATCCCTGAAACTGACTTCCACTGCTGCAGCTTGGATTAAATACCTTCCTTATAAGGTCAATTTAAGGAAGGATGCAAATGCAACCCATTATTTAGGTATCCCTCTCTCTGTTTTTGGTGCTCTGATGAGGAGATCACCCAAACCCTGTGATGCAACACCTCTGCTGTCAACAGCATCCAGACTGACAGCCAGGGGAGAGGAGGGGGCTGCCACTTCTGAACTCTGAAGCAAAGCATCACAGGGATTTCTTCACAAGAGSCATTTATTCTGCGGTTGTTTTCGTTGCACCGAATTATGCGCACCGCTGGATGGCACATCTGGACGACTGGAGGGTACGGAGGTTGAGCGTAGCTCCTGCTAGTATCTGGCTCTTGCAAAACAAAAGCAGTTCATTAGTCTGCATTGTTTCAATCAAAGGCAGTTTGTGCTGAGGAAACGAGGTGAACGTTTTTTTTTTTTAGCGTGGGAGGGTTTGCTGTTGAACTGATTGTATGAAAATATGCAAAGATGGTTTGGAGACTCTAACTGCACATGATTATTAGTCAATGGGTCACTTGCTTCTGATAATCTCACCGAGACTCAGGGTCTCATTTTCAAGGAAAACAGGTTTCAAACAAATCCTCATAACAATTTAGTTTCACAATTTTAAATTCAAAGAGCCTAAGAGCAGAAGTATGTATATATTTAAGCTGTATCAGTTCTTAAAGTGGGTTTTTAGTGCAGATAATTCAAACCAGCCAACTCTGAATACAAAAGCACTTCACTTCTGTTTCTTCTTGCACTTTTCCCTTACAGGGAAAAAGTGCAGCTCTTTTTCTTGACTCTGTACCAACATTTCAGCAGCAGTATATCCGTGCTACAAACACCCTATGTTTAATTCATATTTGGAGCGACAGCGCTGCTCTCCTGTGCCTGTGACAGGCTGTGTGAGGAGACAAAAAAAAAAAAGCCTGAGCGGTGTAGTGCATAATACTGCTTCCAAATTGGCCCAGTGATATGACTGCGCTTTCACTTCAGAGTGCGTTTGGTCGAAGCGRGCCTCTGTCACCTGTTGGCACAGTTTCCCCCCTCTTTCAAATTCAATTTCCCTCCCTACTGCTCCTCTTCAGGAGCAAGCTGTGAGCGAATCAAGCGTACCCCATTTACACTGAAGCCCCCCTCCCTGACACTCACTTCTCCGGCCACTAATCAGAATCAAAACACAACCACTCTGCATCTTTTTTTCCCCCCACTGCGTGCAGTCCTCCTGCATGGGCTGACATGTTTAAAAAGAGGTTTCAGCGCTGTAAAAACGAGAGCTTTTTAAATAACGGTGCAGCTTTTCTCTGCCTGTTTTGCTGTAAATGCAGTCATTGTCAGCGTCTTCCTCAGCGTTTCCCTCCTGTGCACCTTTAGCAATAACATAACGGCAGCATATGTGCCCCCTTAATGACTTCTTTCAGTTTACACCGTAAATGAAACCGTTCATCTCTCATCTTCCGAGCATCCGTCTGTTAGTCTAATCAGAGCAAACGCACACAAAACGGTGAAAGTAATGAGTAGATGATAATGAGGGTTTTGTGAGGGACAAATAGTGATGTTGCTCAGWTAATTACAACAGCAACTCTTTTAAAATCTGACCCAATAAAATAAAATAAAAAAAAGAATGGAACATCCACTTACTTATTTTGCGGCTGATTATTTTATTTATTATTTTTTAAAAAACAGAGTTGAAATCAAAGCTCAGTGGAGCTGCGTGTCAAAGACTTGACCCGGTCCAAATCCTTGGAAATGTGCTTACGTTGAAATGATCCCTGCTTGCAGAGCTCTCCAGCGCATACTGTTTACATTTCTCTCTTATGAATTATTAGTGTGATATGAACAAAGACTTTATAATGGGAGCAATGCATCAATGTCACTTTATATTATGCAGTTATCTCAGGGAGCCCCGTGCATAGTGATGGGCCTGACTGTGGCTGCTGGAATTTAATTCATGCATCATGTTCTACATCAGATGGACAGCCAATGGGGTCTGCTCAGGAAATGAGCCTCAAGGTGTGTGTTTTGGTGCTTCGCTTTAGTTTTGGAGATGCCCACCTGCAAYTGTTTTTMTTTTTTRRCCCCTCCCGATTGCTTGGAACAAACAGAATCCCCTTCGTCAGCATCAGCCCCACCCTTCTCAAAAGGATGCCCCACCTCATGCTCTTTGCCCCCACTCCCGTCGAGCGTTTGTTTACGTTTTGTTTACACCTCTGTCTTGCGCGAGCCAGCGCCGTGCTGATTATAAACATTGTGAAATTTTAATTTGCTCCGTTGCGTTCAATAAGGGTCTGCGCTGTTTTTTTCCCCCCATCTTCTCTGAATGAAACAGTGAGTCTGTAGGTAATTGGCAGGCTGGGGTTAGTGCACGTTCTGCCTGTGCATTCCACCAAACTCCAATTAATTCAGATGTTTTTCAAAATAAGAACAAAAAAAAAGGAGGGTGGGGGGG